AACTTTTCCCTCCTCAGTGCTAGTATTTTCACCAGGAAACAAATATTTTATTCAACTATGACCACACAGAAATCCTCTTGCGTGACTTTATTCATTGTGAAACTCACCCTTCACAGCAGACTGTTAAACAGACAATTACTCTTAACCAGATTCAGCTAGGTAAGTCCTCTATTTTCTTGAAACAAAAAAGGGCATTCAACTTCATCTGGACTATGCTCATTTTACCTCAACCAGTACTGTCAAAAGCATGATCAGGTGCTGTTACACAAAGATTTTCCAATATTGTTTAAGGTAATTAATTTGGATTTGAACCCTTCTCTCTTCTTTGCCTTCTGGCCTCTCACCCAAGGAAGTCTTAAATTCACTGTCCAAAGCAAATCTTTTCCAATGATTTGTGAGCAAAAAACTGAAAGTTCAAAACAACACTGCAAACAGCAGATGCCGACATCTTTGCCAGATCTCAAAGCAGCATTTAAGATGTTCCATGAACTGCAATTTCCAAGTAAACAGTCTGAAAATTGTATACCAAAGAAATTCTGGAATGTCTTCATGTGTTTGCACTCTTAAGAAAGAGAATTAGATTTATCCCGCACCTATAAAAGTCACCTAAACTCTTCCTTTCTTTCCCCACTAAAAAGGCTCCATATACAACTAAGGAAAAGAAACAAGTCTCAACGACGTGTTAAGTTCCCACCACATTATTTTCTCTCCTGTGTGAGGCACTGTACTACATACAAGCATCAATTCGATTGAGTCATTCCTAATGTTTACACAAACACACTGATTAAATCAAAAACTCCTTTCTTCTAAGATATCTTAACACATGGCTGTGACATATTCAGTTATCCACAAAACACAAAATAGAGCCACTGTGTTGGCAACATCACCATCTCCCCATAGAAGCACGCTCAGACTAAATTGGCATGAGAGAATTTTAAAAACTTTTTGACAAGATCTTATGTATTCTGGTGCAGATACAACACGAAAAGCAAGAAGAAAAAATGTTTCCTCTCCACAAAACAGAAGTAGTCAGTTTTTATCTGGTTCTTCCAGACTATATCCAACAACGCTTTCCTAAAAAGGAAGTTTGAAAGCATTAAAGTTGTATCTGCATAAGACACTTCCCAGTATTTTTGCTGTTATCTTAATTATTCACTTTAGCTTCACTTTATTCATTTTGGCTTCACTTCCTGCAGACATCACCAAGCACATTCGCCAATTGTTTGGGGTTTTTTTCCAGGTGAAACAGCAAGTGATTGGGGCACCTTAGCATGCTATAAAATCCTCACAAACATAATCAAAGTTTCTTAAGTGCATGTGTGTGTGTATATACACACAAACAGACAAATGCATATAAAAAACAACAGACATTTATCACAACCTCTCAATAGCAAGAAAACAAAACCTAAAATTTTATTGCTGGGTTGCAATTTCTGAAAAAGGGAATATTGTTATACTGTCATTTTACCAGTTCTTCTACCAAAGATTTTGTTTTGCATTAGCTTTTATCAACATATGCTTTCAACACTGCAGGCTGCATTACTACCTATGATGCCTTAAGTAATGTAAAAAAAATTAGAAGTAATCCTGTTAACTGCCGCCTCTTTGTAAACCAGCAGAGAGCATGAGTGGTTATAACCACTTTTTCAACAGCTTCCCTGGAAAGCAAACAGTACACACTGGGTTGTCAGACAGTAAACTGCCAAACTCTTTCCTTATTACCTGAGGAGTGAAAAGTAGATCCAGTGCTCTGTGCTTAACTCAATAAAATACTGAAGTGTATGCAATTTATTGTGCAACTGTGAAATAAGGACATCCACTGAACAAAACCAGACCACTATATTTAAGGTGAAAGTTTACTTGTGAGGAAGAAAGTTATGTGGCTGCTCTTTCCTCTTCAGAAATTGTGGCTTTTAGCTGTTAACTTGGGTTTATGCCCACAGTCCCATAGAGACATAATCAACATTCCACAGGAACAGAAAAAAAACTACTAACTGACAATCCAAAGTTAACCAATTACCAACCAACATAAAGAATATAATCCAGACTTCCCCCATTCATTGTGAAAGTCTTGTTAAAACAAAAAGTTGTTCATTCAGCAATTCCTCCTGCCATTAGCTATAAAAATGTGACTTCTGGAATAATAGATAATATGTAAGGAAAACTACCACCTAACAAACTTAGTTTGATCATCAGTCAAACCCTGCATTTAATAATCCTCAAATACAACTCCCATACCACCATCTCTAGCAACAACAATAGCCATTTTTCCAACAACCATTTTAAAATCAAATTTCCTAGAAAGAAGTTACTGTTGAGAATACTTCTAGCCAATTTAGAACCTTGAATATTCATGTGTCAATTACAGAACTTGCAGACACTGAGTTAATAATCCTTAAGAAAAAACAGAAGTGGTCCTAAGAACTAAATGCTAACAAACTCTATTTTGGTAACACTAGTTGAAGTTGCAAGAAAAATAATGTTATGAAACAAGTGATTATTAAAAAAAAAAATCAAACCCAACCAATAAAAAAACCCAGTATCTTCATTTAAAACAAAACAAAACAAAACAAAACACAACAACAAACAAACCAAACCAAAACCCAGAAGTAATGCATTTAAAATTCAGTACTCTTCAAACCTACCAATAAAATATTGGGTTAAGAGCCTAGTAAAGAAATACTGGAAAAAGAGAACTGGTCAGCAGATTATTAGCTGGACTTTCTGAAAGATGTTTAACCTTCTTCACAAAACATCATTGTCAGAAAAATAATGCTAAACCACAAACGTTAGCTAAGTAAATACAAAATGGCAGTAACACTTCAACACTGTGAATGACAGCCAGTATGTAAGACATCTGCAAAACAGGTAAGCAATGATCATTGCAAAATATTTAGAACCACAGAGTAAAGTTAGTGGATAGAAGAAGAAAGTTACAGTGAAACTTTATGAACACCATGAAGGAAGCATGTCCCTGCACTACTGATGCTCAGTATGCAGCTGTGGTGGGGGGAAAAAAAAGCCAACATTCAGATGGTTTAGTCTGCTTCAGCTGCAGAAGAGACCCTTTTCAGCTCAGTTTGTGCCCCAAGCAAAGATGTGAGAGGCTGGCTCCTCTCACATGCTGTCTATTGCTCATATGCTCGTTTTCAGCAAAATCCTTACGGAGTTATCAGGACAGGTTGGGAAGAATATCCTAAAAATGAGGTCAAATCTGATTCCCACAAATCCTCACTACCTGTAGTCCGATAGTAGAATACTGAAACTCTTTCGCTTAAAACAATTAAGGAAACACTGATCAGTACTCAATTAGCACTGCAGAGAAAAAGAAAACATTTTATTGATTTAAAAAAATCCATAAATTAATAGATAATCTAGTGATACTTTGAGAGATGGCGCTGAATCCCTTACTGCCTTTGAAAGAAACTCCACAACATAGCAGGAGTCTGAAGTCAAAGAGCAACACTGCAACAGCCCACAATCCTGAAATGCCAAAAAATCCGACTATAATATGGCAATTCTGAAAACTGCCACAGCAGCTGACTCAAGAGGGAATTTATGGCCAAAGAATTTTTTGGGCCTCCTAGCAACATTCTTTGCTGTCATCAGACACCACAGTTGATGCTGCTAAAAGTTGGTGCCTGTGTTTGAACAAGTAGGGGCAAGAAGAAAGGGTGTGAAAATCCTGTTCCTGATTAGTCATGTTCTGCCTGTTGCACAATCCTTGGGACAGAAAGAAACAGCATGATGAGTACCATCAAAAATACAGTCAATTTGACAAGAGCAACAATGTCATACGTGACTGCCTTTTAACAGGTACTTCTTTTAATACTTCTGGTAGTATTTTCCCCGTATCGGCATGAGATGCCACATACATACACACAAAAAGACATAGTCTATGTAATTCATAAATGCATGCTATTTCTACAGAGAATTTTTATTATACTCAACAGAATTATCAGGACTTGAGATGGGATTCTTATCCTCTAATGAAAAAAATCAATATAGCATACTCTTCAAACTTTGTTTTCTCACCTATTTTATGATACTAACTTTTGAATGAAACTAAGAGTTTAAGAGTTTTAAACTGAAGTAGTGATCTACTTTTAAAAAGGAGTAATTTCAATTAAGATCAGAATACTTATTATATTGGTTTCTGCCACTCATTTTTGTTATTAAGGTAGTTACAACAACCACACTTATCACCATGAAATAAGTTTTTCTAAATCTTTCCATTGCATTCAGAATACTTGGAATTGTGTTGATACAATGTTGGTATAGATACTTATGACACAATACATAAACATGACTGGCATAATTTAAGACTTAAATCCCCTGCACTTTTGCTGCATATTGGTTTGGTGGTCATTGAAGCTTTTATATCACAACAACTACTGACATAATTAGTTAGAACAATACAGATGTAGAGAAAAAAGTGAAATTATCCAAAAATATTCTTCTTGTAACACTTCTGAGAAAACATGTTTTCTAAAACACATAATCAAAAAAATTTAGTCTGCTGTTTTCTTGTAACAATTTAACCTTTATTTAAGATTTGTCTATGTCCAAAAAACTTCAGTGTTTGAGTAAATGACTATGATGAGGTCAAGAATATTGGCATCTACTGTAATTCTCTTCAAACATTATCCTGGACCAGGCCCTTCTGCTGCTTTATAAAAGCAGGAAAGAAGTATTCTCAACTGATTGCATCTGCCAAGTAAGAATTCAGCAAACACATCAGTAGTGTATATAAGATAGTCTTCATTTCCATAGGGATTCAGGTCTAATTACAATGAGTTTAAACTCTATTTTTAAAAAAAAAAAATTAGCAGTGAAGATTTTCCTCTTTAATTTTTGGTAATGAAGTAGCATGAAAGATTTTCCTAAGAAGTATAAAAAATGGTCTTGCTACATAAGCTAACTTTATTTTTAGAGGCTCAGTAGTTAAAATTAATGGAAGCCTTTGTTTATTTGTCATTTATCTGCTTTTAAATACTTACAGTGAAAAAAACGGAAATCAATGTATGGATGAGAACCTCTTCTCTCTGTTTCAAATCCTGCCCGACTTCTTACTCGCACATCTCCTAGAAACAGGGTCAAGAGTGAAATAAAAGTGTGGAAGAGTGGCAGAGATAAAATGCAAATGAACATAGCCTGGAGGGGTAAAGATTCATGTACTTAATGAAGGAGGGTTATTCAAACAAGAGGCCTACTTCAATGCTTTTTGTTTTAAAGGTGAAATTCAAAACAAAGTTTGAAGACTTGTTAAACATGCAATCGCATGCTTTCTTGTCAAAATCTCTCCTGCCTAAGCATAGGTTGCCAGAAGCATGTGATAAGCATTCAGATGAAATTAGGAACAGCTTGCTACACCAGTATGGTAAAAATGCACCTTAACATGACAGGAAACAAGAACATTAAAAGTTGATTTGTTCCTCAGTAACACACATAAAACGGTAACATTTTATATAATACAAAAAAAGATTCAGCTTCTAGAAATGGTAGCTTTTAGCAAATAAGCTAGTTACAATATTACATAACAGAATATTTTCCCACTAGCATTTACTTACTTGTGCTCAGATGTTTGAATATTACACAAGAGCCTATTAAAATACCAAAACTCAGTATTAAAATTTTATCAAACTATTTCACACTGCAATCAGCTTCAACCTGAATCTTTTAGCATGCCAGTTAATTTCTACTTATGCATTTTACCAACTGAAAGCTGATCAGCGTTCTTTCACTAGGTATCTGTTTGCATTAATATAAGTAGTTCACCTGGATTAAAAGCTTTCACTTAAGATCCTTTAGCAATTACAAATTTGGGCAAACCTTTGAGGATCAAATGCAATAGTGTTTCCCTCCTCAAATCCTAAAAAAAAAAAAGTGACATTTAAGATGTGTAAATGTTCTGGTTTCTAATTATGAAAATCCTTCAAGTGTACTATTCTCCTCTCTTCAAACACAGCGATTTTCATGTGAATCAAAACTGAGTGTTTAACACAAGAAACTAAGACTGATTTTATAAGAACAAAATAAAAAAATAGCTATTTCATTTCCAGCAACAGGTAACATGTTGAGAGTGTTTTTTCCTTTTCTTCTCCAACCTGCTAATTTGCAATGCTGAAGCAGGCAACCTGTCAGAAAGATACTGACTAAAACTCCAGTAATATACTTTTAATACTTCACAGGTATCTTTCTAGAGAAACATATCTACAGTGACATCTCTACAGTGACACACTTCACATGAATGTTACCTTGTGAGGCAGGCTAGAAGGACCACAAAAGGATAAGTACGCCCAGGGCTCCCCCAATAATAAGTCTAAAGTTTACATATCAGTAAAAACACACCAAATAATGTGGGTTTAATTTATTACTCCTTTTTTTTTTTTTGAAACTGAAAACCTTAACAGAGCTGCAAGGGAAAGTAACCCAGTTACTACCTGTAAATACTATTTTTCAGAGCGCTGACGATATATTCCTTATAAAAGTTTCAAGTATTCATCTAAGCAGAGTGCAAGAGGCTTCTCTTGTTCAGGCAATACAGAGGCAGCAAATTGTAGAACTCTTCTGTTAGGCACAAGCAACAGGTGAATATTTTTTACAAAATAAAGTCATAAAAAGGAAAAAGGCAGGAAAGTTTGGAAAAGAGTCGGCGAATGCATTAGTAGCTGTGTATGAAAATATAAGTTTACACAGAAGAAAATGCAACTTTCATTACCTTTCACTCATATTTATCTGGGAAATCAGTCATAGCTACAGCTGTGTGAATGAGTTCACCAGCTGAATTAAAAGAAAAATAAAAGTTTTTTTAGTTAAGCTGATTTTTTTTTACAGAAAACATGATACAACTTCGGTGATTTATATGTAGTTTTCAAGGCAGTCTTAACTTTCAAAAATTTACCAACCAGAATGCGAATTAGCAAATAGTTTCAGTCAGTGTACAACTAGGTTTTGGTGAACAACTTACTTGTTCAAAGTATCAAGAATAGGAAAAGTTCACAGAAAAACACCTGAAGACTAACATGGAACTCTGCAAACAACAAAACAAGCAGCTTCATCTGACAAATGATACGCAGAAAATTTCTCTCTGCTTGTCTCTTTTTTTATTTACTAGTACCTGGTCTAACAGCATGGATAGAACAACCGTATCCCTGCTACCCTTGAAATACCTGCATTGTTGTAAATTTCAAGTAGGGAAGCAAGAAAAACTCTCTACAAGTGAAATGCTGAAGTGCAACTAACAACATTGCTTTTAACAGGAATTATTAAAAAGCCTACTTACAGGAACAGTTAGCCAAAAGAAGAAATGACATACTAAAAATGCACATGGTAAAATAATAAAAGGCGACTGTAATAAGATAAAAGTAAAATGAGGGTATTTACTTGCATACATATGAAATAAGAAATACCCAGCAAGAAAAGCAAAATATTTTCATGAAGCAGTTGTTAACAAAATTCTCTCTCCTTGATTGTGGTATTTTGTTAAGAATCAAGATACCATCGATGGATGAATTTTTTTAGAATACATTTGGATTTATTCTGAAAAAAGATATCACTTCTACAGGACTGTATTTTATTGCAGTAAACAAAGCAGAAATTCCTATCAGGCCAAAATGAAGGCAGAAGAGCTGTCTCCATCATTGTAGAGAACTACTGCATTTTTCAAGATTTTAGACAATAAACATGCTTGGACAAAACTGGCAGGAGTAGAATCTGAAGATACCATACATCCATCTGAAGTTTCTATGTATATGGAAGCATAAAAAGGAATAGCATCAACCTGGCTGCACATTAGCACATTATGAAATGATGTGCTGTTAGCACAGTGAAATTAATCTCTACTGCATATGTATAGTTAGTTCCCAAACATCCAGACATGCTGGACCATCATTATGCATTCACTGTTCAGTGAATCTGACCTGCAAAGATCAATAGATCCCAAACGCACTCACTTCATTGTATTTGCACCTAACATATTTACATCAATTTGCTTGGGAAATCCTGCACAAGTTTTTTGTAACCCTATGACTCTAAAATGATACAGAATTTAACTTTAAGGAAGTGATATGTTACCATCATATGTAACTTAAAAAAAGTCACAAGACATTTCAGACTTAAGATTACTTTTATCTGATGAAAGGACACTGTTACATAATTCCTTCAAACAGCAACAGAAGTCTAACCTCAGAGCCAATTGTTATTATGGTAGCTGAAAGATAATTAAAATTCAACACCTAAACCAAAATAACTTATAAATAGTTTTCATTTATTTAGGCCTTTTTTTTTAAAAAAAAAAAAAGTGGTTACAAAATCTTTGGAAACCATCAGATCTCAGTGTTTGCTTATAGGTAAATTTCCTTGGGGGCAGCAGAAGTGGTATCAAGCTGGCAAGTTGGCAGTTTTTATCTTAAGTGTCTCCTCTTTAGCCACTTTAGCCACTCTGAAAAGACTCCTCTCTTTCCTGAGGGGAACACATTCAAGTGCAGCACCTTAATGACAGTGGACTTCCAGGAACAATTTTTTTCCTCTTTGAGAGTTTCTGTGAATCCAAAAATCTAGAGAGATTTAAAAAACGTGAAGCTGTCCTTTCAAACTCTAATTTTGTGCACAAACACAACAAAATATCTGTTGGCTGAGTATTTAACTAACTTTTTTCCAGAATAGTTCTACGTGACCAGGGTTGCTTGCATTTGTCAGACAAAGGCCTTTCAAACAGGAACTCCATTGAAGTCTGAATAGTGAAAGAAGGAATACAAGAGAGTGGTTTGCAGCTACAACTGAAAAGTGAAAAGGAATCAGGGCTGTAACAAAACTTACCTTGAGACAGAGTGTTTAGTTCCTACCCCTCAGATCCCTGCTCACATGACAAGGACAGCTCTGATACTTTTGAGGCATCTGAAATGCCACAGATGACACCCTTGCACATCAGGGTTATGCAGCACGCACTTTGTGCTACCCTAACACTCCAGTGCGGCACAGTAACAATGCAGCAGGTGTTTGGGGAGCTGAGGCCTTCTGGAGCAGGGGCAGAAATCTCAGAAATCACGGAGGACAGCTGGGAGCAGAAGTTACGACAGCAACCTCAAACTAAACCACCCAAGTCAAAGCCAGGAAGTTGTGAAGAGCAGGATTTCCAGTAAGAATTACTAGCTTCACAGATTAAAGCTCCTATTAAATTTGCCGGAGAAACAGATGATAGGTCAGCCAAATATGCCGGAATTAAAGCAAAAGGAATACAACATAACAACCGCTACAGGAGAAGAGCGTGCACTTGCATTACACAGTAGCTTGTCTCCACTGATTCTTATTTGAAGTGATCAGGACCTCTAAACAAGGGTAAAATGCTCCAGTTTTAGTTGAGGTACATGCTCACCAATACGAACAGTGCCCCACTCTTTCTCCCCCATACATGTAGCAAAACTTTCAGGCAATATAAAACAACAAAAAAAAGAAACCAGAAAAGCAAAGAGAAAAATCAAGAAACTATCAAGATTATACAGAAGCATTTACAAGAAATGTTGAGAATTCCTCACAGATGCTGAAAGAAGTAGCTGACTGAGGTGATGCAGACATATTAGTCCTTTTGAGGTCTTAAAAGAAAAATTCTACAATGCTGCATCTGTATCTATAATTTTAAATAGTAAATAAGCCACTCAGGATTGGCTTAGTGTATATTTTTGGAATGGGGTATGACAGATGAGTCATTAGAGTCAATGTTGTTTGTTTATATCAACACTGATGAAGACAGCTAAGAGTTAGTTGTTTATTTTGTGTGCCCCTAAAATTTGATCTTTTAAATTGAACCTGGAAACACTGCCATACCATAGGAATTTCTATTTATTTAGTGCAAATGAATTTCCATTGGAACAGCCTGAAAACATTAAAGGAAGCAACTCCACGGCCACCACAACTAAACAGAGGCAAAGGGAGGTGTCCTAGATATCCCGAGCTTTATATTGTTGGGCTGCTAAAATAATGACCTTATTGAGGTACATTTTATTTGTAGATATAGTCTGTTTGGAATAATAACCAAGTAAAAGGCAAAACCCCTCACAACTGTGCCTAACTTCCTTTTAAGTTACAGCTGAGGATTCCTTACAGCTTACTCTGCTAAAATGTACTAAGATAAATTAAAAAAACAAACCCAAAAGCCTCCCAATACTGTATGGGAAATACAATACTCCATATTTCTTGCAAAAAATTCTAATTGAATATATTCATTCTTGAATCTACTCCCAACATGAATGTTTCTACATACCGATGAGTCCAACTGTTCAGCTTTCAGGCTGGTCTTTTTTTACAGTCCATTTATGAATACAACAGTAATAACTGTGTAAATAGTTGCTAATTTGTACAGTATAGTGTATGCAACATTTGGGAAACCAAAGTGATCACCAACAAGTGAGAAAGTAATACAAATTTAACATACTCATTCAAACATCCAATGAGCAATTTTTTTGTTTGCATGTTGGTACCCTCCTCCCCCCAGCTGAAGTTAGAAGACTTACTGCCTCTGAATAGCTAGCATCATCAAACAGCAGCAAATGCCAGCGAGAGTAACGCTACTCACAGCAAGCACCAATCACATAGCCTAGTAATTAATTCCCATTAGAGAACAAGTGAAAAAGTAATTTACTTAACATCACATTCTGAATATATTCCAATTCTGCCTAAGAGAATAGTCAAAGAAAGACTTCAAACCAAATGGGATTTTTCCCTCAGTTCAGGTGTATATACCAAGAACCATAGGAAGTTATGCTTTGCCTTCCTCTAGATTTACTTGAGGATTATCACAAACCCTTCTGCAGAAGTGACGGACCTAACTACTTCATGGTACAGTTAAACTTCCAAAGTAGCAAAAGAAATCAGATTATTCTCCCCAGAAATTAAGAACTATTTTCTTAAAAGCTGAGTTTCTACCACTGGCAGATTAATTTTAAAAAGATAAAAACACAGGATATACTTACAGTACCTTTAATTCAAGCATATCAGTGCATTTTAGAATTAAACTAGTATTTATTTCCCCTGTTGTGGAATTAAAAGTACCCAATTTGTCGGATTTTGAAGCAGAAAAAGAATTGCATTTTCTAATTACAGCACAAAATAAATTTAGTTTAAAAGAAAAAGTATCACAAAATCAAGGAAACAAAACTACCTCAGGCCTGAATTTACTTTCTTATTCTTACGACTAGAACAGAAAAATCACATTTTGAAGAATTCTAACGTTCATCGTGCAAAAAGGATGATTAAAAATAAAAGTTATTTTAACTTCTGAAAAAGAAATAAACTTATTTACAACAACAAAAAAAATCCAGCAGCTTTTTCAATAAACATTTAGAAGCTAGCATCTTCTGTCCTCTTCCTCTCCACAAGTCTCCAAAGTAGTTACATTCTCTTATTAAAAATCCTTCAGTAGAGTCAGTGCTATAGTATTAACTTCACAAACTTAAAAAAAATCAAAATAATTGAAAAAGAAAAATGTGAAGATGCTAAGTCAGAATTGGATTTATATATAGATATGCACACGTATGCCTACATGCATAGGTTATGCCTATAAATTAATATATATACATACATGTGTACACATGCATATAGCTTACATATTTAAATTCATAGACAACGTAGTTATGAATTTCTGGGGACTTTAATACAATATACAACTAAATTGAAAAGACTCAGTGCATAAAAAGACATGTCCTGGCTAATTTAGTTGGAGCCAGTTAAGAATTTACAGTGACTAGCTGTTGATGTTCATTGAGCTGTGCAAGACATCATGTAAGCATTCATAGTCCATTTCTACACAAAATCATAGCTCAAGATGGCTTCAATTAAGTGTCATAATTTTGCAACAAAACAAACTTCAAGGATATATATAGTCCCCATACCATCTGCACCATCAGCAGCCTCCAGAAGAGGTGCAGGAAGAACAGAATCCTGCAGCCAGATCTGCAAGAGCTTTGCATCTTTCTCGTCTCCACGACTGATCTCAACTCCTTCTGTGCACTCACCATCCCAGAGGGTCTCCCCCAGATGCTTGCCCCTCCCAATACTTTTCTTATATTTTAGTTTAGTTTTACCCTTTATCTAGTTGCTACTCTGGAAACATTCTTCAGTTAGGTTGACTAAACTAGGGGCTCTGTCACGCATCCTTTCCCTTCTTAATCCTAGATGATGACTTGAGAAGTATTGTTTAAAATCATACCATTATTTTAAGAATGCCTTGAGCATTTCATAACCTCAGTACTAAGGTTTTGAAAAGTGTGGGGTAACTCTCACACAAATGTTCTCTAAGCTACAGTGTTAATCGGAAGGATACCTTACAGAAGTGATAAATTCCATCACAGAAGCAAGGATCAATCATAAGTCACTTGGAAAACTTAACTTCTACCAAACACATCACATTGAGAACTTTTTTTTTTAATATAGGAGTAAAATATCCAAGACAATGGTTAACTCAGGAAAAAAAAGAAAAAAGGCAAACAACTGAAAAACCCCAGTCAACACAAAAGAACCCATGCTCTTCTAAAGAATGTAACCAGATTGTTATCCAGGAAAAAGGGAATGATAAGTTTAAGAATTCAACACTGAAACATAAAAAAATAATTATTTTAAATCAATCATAAATGTTAGAACTCTGCAATATAGAAACTGGTATGCTTACCTAGCATACGAATGTACAATGCAGTCTGATCAGAGCTGTCATAGGAAATTGCTCCACGTCTCTGCAAAAAAAAAAATTGTATTTTATGCAAATTAGAACTGAATCATTTTTAAATTGAAATGAAAATAAAGTATCAATTGTGCATTTCCAATCTAACTCTCAAAATTAATTTTGGAAATTTGAACATGCATCTTTCAAATATATATATATACACACTGATTTTGTTCTAGGAGGGGCAAAGGAAGGACAGGAATTGGTGGTAGTAAAGAGATTATGAAAAGCAGGACTAGAGTGCAGAAAAAAATAAATTCCCCCCCTAAATTTCTTTCCAGATGCTCATCAATCACTCCCCACAATAAAAAAAAGACACAGAACAAGATTAAGCAGACACAAAAAAAATGTACTCCTCATAGCCTTCTACAATGTAATACTTATAACAAATACTTGCAGTTCCTGGTTTATTTGTTTGTTTACTCTTACCTCTGGGGTATTTCCATCTTTCAAAGCTAAGAGTTTTAAGAGAAGTAAAAGAACTCAAATGACACCATTACTGCAGTCCTAGGAATTCAACCTATATTCTGCAAGGGCAGGACTTGGTTGCCACATGCTACTTTCATTCCACCCAGTACTTTCTTGGGCAAATCAAGGTACCACTGAAGCAGGGTGTAATACATAAAGGTATTTTAAGAAAACAGGCAAGTGGTATTTCACATTTGATGATAAAAGTCTAAAACAGTCATCAAGCTAGCCACACATGACATTGAGATAATCCTATATAGGCTGTATTTCTTACCTATACAAAATATGCATGTTCCATACACAGTCAGCTAGTGCAATAATAGTTATATTCCAGGAAGTCTCCCACAAGTATGGTGAGCTGGCCCTCTAATAGCTAAAAACTGGAGGAATGTTCTTGTAGTTACACAACACTGGCATCACACAGTCTTCAAAGCTTGGCACAACCTAGCACCCAGCCTCACGCTTGGCCTTTACTGTACTTTCACCATGTTCTGCCACTTCCTAGGGCCTTCATTAATGTTATTTCTTAATCCTAGGATCAGAAGATCACCTTCACAACCAGACTTCAATTTTGCCGTTCACAACATTTGTTCTTTAAAGAATTAAGATTTTTTCTGTGCGTACATGTTAAAAACTTCTGTGACCTTTTCCTGTCCTTATTTATGCTGAGAACAGTGAAGTTCTCAGTGCCACAAAGAATTATACCCCTTTGAGAACTTCAGATAAAAGCCAACCTGGAGGTGAATGCAGTCACCCATTTTTCCCTCTCTGTAGCAGGAACAACACTACACAAGGGACACACAACAGCCTGAAAATGTGAAAGTTCAAAAGATGGGAAACCAAATCAAGTTAGGAAACAGGACAGAAAAACAGATGTTGGCTATTGAAAAGAACTCTAAAAGAAAGAAAAAGAGACAAAGAAACAAATTACTTGGAAGGTGAAAAAGGCAAAATCGCTTATTTGCATCTATCTACCGAACAAACCGAATGCACAAGGAAAGACTAGCTATTAATAAACTCTATCAGCATGATTTGTTACAACTGATACGCTAAGACTCCAAACCCGTAAGTTACACTTAATTGTTTTAATATTTTCATGTTAAAATAAAAAAGAAAACCTTAGACTTGAAGTCAGAGAAGTTTTTCCAAAGGTAAGCTTAATATTTAATTACAGAAATGACCAAAGACCTAGCTCCAAATGGTGTCCAATTACAGTAGTAGTTGTTAAAGACTATGAGGAAGAACCCCCTGTACAGCACTCCTATGTTATCTTAGCTTTTTGTTCTGTATTGCCTTGGAAGATTATAAACCATGCAAATAATCCTTCCCTCAAAATCTTGTTTGTACAGCATTTCTCACAGCAATGTGCCTGTCCAGATGGGAAAGGCAGGAATACAACTCACCAAACAGAAAATGATGCTGATCTCCCACTAATGTTCTCAAATTTCTTCATATAACCCACCTTGAATTTCAGCAAATCTCTGCTGAATATATTTTCAGTAGCCTGGAACATTTCATATCACTGACTACTGTTAACTTGCAATTTGCACCTGTCTATCACAGATTTCTGGACATGTCCAGTACAGTTCTGTAATCTAATACAGGAGAAAAGCTAAGCACACATGCAGTTGGAAGAACCAGGCCCAACTGGAGCATTAGCCTCCGAGAAGAAAAACAGTATGTGAAAATTTACTGAAAAATAAAATGTTTTGATATGTTGATTCTAAAATATTACTTGCTTTCTAAAATCTACAATATTATTTGCTAGATAAAGTAGTACATCCATGTATGATATCAAACACAAAGCTCATTTTTAAAAATATAAACCAGTTGCTTATACAAACAAGTAATTTTGTTCTGCAAGGACTCTGAAAGATCTCGTAATTATCTCTGAACAATCAAATCTTTTAAAATTACCTTTCAAAGCTTGGCTTCCTAAGGAAAAACAGACAATTTGTTGTATAAACCTTATTAAAAATACTTCAAAAGTATCAGGACAATTTCAGCTAATTTTGCTCAAAGGGTAGGTCCTAAAGGTATTTCATTCATTGAAATTTGTTAAATAAAATAGGTAAGAGGAAAACACTTATTAGCAAGTTCCACCGAAGGACGGATGCAGGGTGGATGATGAGTGGTCAGACCTCGTACCTTTAGACAAGGCAAATAAGTGAAGTACAGAGTTATGAGCACTGTGGAGGGCAGTCAGAGACAGAGGAAGGAGCTAACGGTACAGAGGTTTTTATCAACTTGTGATAGACAGGTAAATTAAATAATATTATGCTCATCCAGCCATGGATTGCTATGTGTCAGCATACGCTCCAAACAGGTAACAGACTATGTACCACAGGTTGAGGTATATCCTGTTTGCCCACTTCAAATTATACTACCAGCATATTTGTTACACTAACCCCTACACTATTCTAGAAAAACGCAAGAAAAAAACCAAACAAAACCAAAAAAAAGAGAAATAATCTGCCCTGCCTGTTGTTCTTTAAGATATTCTGTTCAGATTCCACTTTTTAAATCCAGCAAACAGAAAAACCAGATTTCATGCATCAGCTTCTACTGAAATGTGAACTGTCATGTGCAGCAAATTTGTAAGCAGAAAGGCAAATGAGTATTAAATAACTAAAGTTTCTGTATAGCACTCAACAGGTCAAACAATTTGATCATCACAATTCTAGCCTTGTTGACCACCAAAAACGCCTCCTCCTTCATTGGTAATCAGATGTCCACTCTCTGTAGCCTGCGCCAAAACATCAAGGCTACACTTACACTGAACTTTACCTTACGTACACAGTCAAGACGACTGTAGCATATACCGTACCAGGCTACAGAAACCTTGCCTAAAAACTTCAGGGATAGAGCTTCTGGCACTTCAGAATATCACATTATTGTTAATATTTTTAGCTTCTTTAGCGTAAAGTTTTACTTCTAAACCTCTGCCACCTCTTTGGTCTACCTGGAGCTTTGTACCTGTTACTAACCATAAAGCACATTGAACCCCTTGACCTTCTGTACAAATCTCAAACTAATAAGTATCATTCCAACAGGTAGACAGAATTACTAGTGCTCAAACTGAAGACAATCCTGATGTGTTTAGGCAGGTTCTCTTTTCAAGCACAAGGACAATCTGGATCACTGAGAGTATCTGTTGGACTCCAAGTGACACAACAAATTCCTCAAACGATTAGGTCAGGTTATTAAGCACTCCGCTCCTTTCCAGACATTAGCGCAGCCATCTCAAGTGGGTGGGCTGTTCTGTTTCAGCAGTGAAGACAAGATGTCAGAAAGATCACAGAATCATAGAATGGTTTGGGCTGGAAAGGACCTTAAAGACCATTTAGTTCTCACCCCCCTGCCATGAGCAGGGACACCTTCCACTGGACCAAGTTGCTCCAAGCCTCATCCAACCTGGCCTTGAACACCCCCAGGGAGGGGGCAGCCACAGCTTCTCTGTGCAACCTGTGCCAGTGTCTCACCACCCTCACAGTGAAGAATTTCTTCCTTACAACTAATGTAAATCTGTCCTCCTTCAGTTTGAAACCGTTAAGCCTCATCCTACCACTACCGTCTCTGATAAAGAGTCCCTCCCCACCTTCCCTGTAGGCCCCCTTTAAGTACTGGAAGGCTGCTCTAAGGTCTCCCTGGAACCTTCTCTTCTCCAGGCTGAACAACCCCAACTCTCTCAGCCTGTCCTTACAGGGCAGGTGCTCCAGCCCTCTGAGCATCTTTGTGGCCTCCTCTGGACCCCCTTGAGCAGGTCCATGTCTTTCCTGTGCTGGAGGCCCCGGAGCTGGATGCAGTACTGCAGGTTGCATCTCACCAGAGCAGAGTAGAGGGGGAGAATCATCTCCCTTGACCTGCTGGCCACGCGGCTTTTGAAGCAGCCCAGGATGCGATTTGCTTTCTGGGCTGCAAGCGCACATTGCTGGCTCACATTCAGCTTTTCATCCACCGGCACCCCCAAGGCCTTCTCTGCAGGGCTGCTCTCAGTCCACTCATCACCCAGCCTGTGTCTGTGCTTGGGATTGCCTCGACTCAGGTGCAGGGCCTTGCACTTGCCCTTGTTGAACCTCGTAAGGTTCACACAGGCCCACTTCTCAGGCTTGTCAAAGTCCCTCTGGATGGCCTCCCTTCCCTCCAGCATGTTGACTGTACCACAGAGCTTGGTGTCATCAGCAGACCTGCTGAGGATGCGCTCATCCCACTGTCCATGTCGCCAACAAAGGTGTTAAATAGCGCAGGTCCCAATACCGACCCCTGAGGAATGGCGCACGTCACTGGTTTCCACTTGGGACATTGAGCTGTTGATCATGACCATCCAGCCAGTTCCTTATCCACAGAGTGATCCACCCTTCGAATTCATGTCTTTCCAGTTTAGAGACGACAATGTCATGCGGGACAGTGTCAAATGCTTTGCACAAGTCCAGGTAGATTACATCAGTTGCCCTTCCCTTATGCGCCAATGCTGTAACCCCATCGTAGAAGGCCACCAGATTTGTCAGGCACGATTTGCCATTTGTGAAGCCACGTGGGCTGTCACCAGTCACCTCCATATTTTCCAT